TATATATATACACACACACACACACACGCGTGTGTGTGTGTGTGTGTGTGTGTGTGTGTTAACAATAATTAGTTACGAATAATTATTTTATCTGTGTTTTGTCATTTTTCACCTCAAGTAATCTGGTGAATTAATTAAATTGCTGTGGTGACTGACAAGGCATGTGCATCTCTCCAAGAAGAGGTGATTCGATACATATCTCGATATATGGTGTAAGATACGATTCGATGATCGATTTCAATGTAGAACAATTCGATTTGGTTTGAATCGATGCACTGGCTTTTTTTTTTTAATCAAAATCGATTTCTGATTCAAATTGTTTTTTGTTACTCCTCTAGTAGTGACCAAATATGTTAGTTGAAAATTCAGATGACAGGTTACTCTATTTCGTTTTGGCTTTCATTTGTGCTTATTTCTCGTTAGTGTTACCTGATTTAGGAACAATGCAACGATGCATAATTTAATATTTTAGATGAGACAAATAATTTATCAATTTTCCTCAAGGAATTTTGCAGAGAAGAACACTATTAACTGTTTAATTTGAAACTGTCTTTGCACACATCGCTTACAGATGTTATCCTATGAACAAAATGCATTTTAGATTCAAGTCTCAGTCCAAAACAGCCAATGTTGACATGGTCCATCAGACCCTGGAAATCCATGTTTGAAGATGTGAACATACACCGATGAGGCACATCTCATCCCATCTTCAGAGCCATACAAGATGGCGGTAACTCATGTTTGAATTTGAAAAACAGGCCAAGATGAGCTGTCTTGAAGCCACTCACAGGTGTGTCCACGAAGTTATGCTCTCCCATGAAAGAGAAATGTGTACTCTGCTTTGGAATGGGCATATTGGAGTTGGTGGCATGGAGGCTGCGACGTGTCCCTTCTCTTGCAGACATCACTGGCATGACAGGCGGTCCTGACTCCGTCGTCGTTTAATGCCCAGTTCATTGTTCTTGCTGCTCCTCACGCTCTCGTCCCGCTTCCTCTTTGTCCTCCCATCCTGTTTCGATCAAATCAGGCAACACACTGATTGGTTATTTCACCCAAAGATGTTCATGGGAAGTAAACTTTTCCTGAGTGTTCCTCTATTTATGGCATGAAAAACACTTGTGCAGGCTAAGATCAAAAACGAAAACATTTCAAAAGGGTCATATTATCGAAAATGTACTTTTGGATTGTTGGTTTTCAAAATATTTGAGTCTCTGGAGTGCCTGCCCATCAAGTGTGAAATGTAAATCTCACGTTGCCTCCTTGAAAAAAAATGTCCTCATTTTCAAACATGAACACCAGAGGGCAGTAAAATCATGAAGAGAACAACCACCAACTAACCATGGCCAAAGGTGAATCCAATTTTGTGGTTTGCTGACATTGCTGCCCTAATTGCTTCTATACTAACGACGAAGTCAATCAAACTTGAGCATAATCATCTTCACAAAGGCAGAATGTTTTTTTTATACACCTCTTGTATTGGATCTCATTAGACTGTGCAAATGTGCCTGGTGTGGGTGTGAAAATAACATTTGTTCCTCCTTCTGTACTGACAAAAGAATACATTCACAGACCTTGGTGTCACGTTCTGCAAATTTCTGGAACATGTTGGCGTAAGTCTTCTTGTCCAGCTCGTGATATTCCTTCATCTTGCTTTGGCAGGTAGAAATCTGATGGTGAGCAGCTCGATTAGCAGGATTGACTTGCAGCACAAGTTGAAAATCCGCCATGGCCAGGCTGAACTCGTTTCGGCGGAGACGGGCCTCGCCACGGCGATACAAGGCCTTCTCGTTGCTCGCGTCGAGATTGATCACCTTGGATGCAACGACAAAAACAACGCACGGGTAACTACGAATGTATACCCGAATATGAAATACAATCATTGATTCAAATGCTGAATGCAGAACACCTTGTTGCAGTTCTCCACTACCAGAGAGAAATCTTGAATGCGCAGGAAACACAGCGCTAAATTGAGGTGGGACGACAAAAGAAAGTCATTAATCATCTTCTGCTGCTCCAGGGCTTTACCAAACTCCATCTCGAGCCAGGAAACAATGCGCTGGTACTGGATGACAGCATGGTAGTAGTGTCCTGCCTAAACGACAAAACGATATTTTTGAGTCGATGACAAAAACAGACAATATTCTATCTTTATTAGAATTGGATAGTGAGGATGTTCTACCTTATAATACTGATTTCCTTTATGCTTGATTTCTGAGGCTAATTTGAGCTTTTCATGCAAATCCATTTCCCAGGGTTCTTTCGCCTTGATGAAGAAAACAGACATGTTCAGTCGTCATAAAATTGCCTTTAAGTAAATGATAATACTAACTCCATACCATATTTTGGTGGTAAAAGATGTGTTGGCTCATGCTTACCCTTTTAAAATCTTTGAGCGTAACCTCATATACAACGTCTTTGTCTGGCCCAATTTCGAATTCTGGTTTTCCTTTGCGTCCAAAGCCATACCTGCAACAGAGCGGGGAATATCTGGCTTTAAATGTGAAAGCGTCAAGATTATGATACTTCCTCATTCATTCATTCATTCATTTTCCGATCCGCTTATCCTCACAAGGGTCGCGGGGGTGCTGGAGCCTATCCCAGCTGTCTTCGTGCAGTAGGCGGGGGACACCGTGAACCAGTTACCAGCCAATCGCAGGGCACACACAGACAAACAACCATCCACGCTCACACTCACACCTAAGGACAATTTAGAGTGCTCATTCAGCCTGCCATGCATGTTTTTGGAATGTGGGAGGAAACCGGAGTACCCGGAGAAAACCCACGCAGGCACGGGGAGAACATGCAAACTCCACACAGAGAGGCCGGAGCTGGAATTGAACCCGGTACCTCTGCACTGTGAGGTCGACACGCTAACCACTGGCCCACCGGGCCACCCCTATGATACTTCCTTCAGGGTAAAATGTCAAATTGGGGAGCAATATGTTTCCAAATTTGATGATAACTCTGCAGGTTGCAAAATTTGCTTCTCAAATGAAACCATTGATTTTTAGCAAAAGTGCTTCACAAAAAATCTCTCTCTCTCTGTGTGTGTGTGTATATATATATATATATATATATTTCTTTATTTATTTTGTTATCTTATATGTATATATAATGTTTCACTTGTAACATTTGTCACGTGATAAATGTTCTGAATATTATCCTTGAGAAAATCAGCAGGGTTTTTTTTGTTTTGTTTTTGAATGTGTTTATATTATTTTGAAGTGTGTTTAAAGACCTTTAAAAAAACAAATGCTATCAAAATATGCCTAGGAAATGTTCAGAAAAAAGGTTATCAATATCACTGATTTCATTTAATGCAGGGGTGGTCTTGAACGTAACCCTTGCGACGGAGGGCGTTTATTGTACAGTATATAGTTTTATCTATATATGAATAATGATATAAACAGGAAGAATAACTTACTTTGATGATAAGTAGAGTATGCAACATTCTCCTTTCTGTATCTTATCCATGGCACGGTCCACGCCCAGAGGAACACCTTTATCCTCTGACTCACTGACAACAAAGCTGACGTCCCTGATGTCAAACAGTCGACTGTCACAGCTTCCCTCCAGATGCACTTGAGGGGTGACACAACACAGATTCCAATGTAGTGTTTTGTAATATAATCTAAATTATAAAGGGCCCAAAATGTATTATCCGTGCAGGGGATTACCATCTACGACTGAGCCATCATTGGGATTCAAGTAGCTATCCCCTTTGACCTTTATTCTTCGTATGATGCCACCATCATCTGTAAGCGTCTCTCCTAATTCGAACTTGAGCAATTCTATCTGTTTGAATAAACACACATACACACGCTTCAGTTTTTAGTTTTTGTTTTAAACAAATGCTGGTGTAATAGGTGCAATTTGAGAAAGAAAAAAAAAACGCAGCAGTGTGCAAGGGAAGGTTTAGTGTGGGAGGAGAAAATACATAACAAAAAACATGTAGGAGTTGCCACCAATGAACATTTGGTAGACTATTTTTCTGAAAATGGTGAGACAGTATTTATCGTTTGTATTTTTCCTCCGAATGTAATCAAAGGGGGAGTTTGCAGTTAAAAAAAACATGTTTTATTCATTTGTCATTTTTAGAACTGTCAGTATAATCTGTCGCACACAAGACAATAAATAGATGAGTGAAATAATCTGTGAAAAAAATTAAACACTGTCTAACCCATCTTGTACCTCTAATTTGATTCTTCAGAAAATGACAGACCTGAAGAAAAATAATGTGTCAACAAAAACAACAGAATGCATGTCTGATAAAGTGTCAGTCATTGGCCACGGACTTGCTATTTGTAAATCTGTCCTTTCTTTCTTTTTGTTTCCAAATAGTTCTAAAGATATGACAAAAAAATGGAGTTCCATAGTTTCATAAATCCCACACTGATGGCACGGCACTCTAAGTCTTTTTTTCCATCCAAAAATGCTTTGCGCTGGTTAGTGAGGACTTGGCTGAAAAAAAAGCAGTGAATTGATGAAAAAAGATTCAGAAGCCCTGAACTAGCAAACAGAAACAGTAAAGGGACCTCCGAGAATTCGGAGGCAAGGTGGAATTGGAAAAAAAATCTGTCCTAAATTTATCCCCTATTCTTGAGTTTTTATTCAATATACATCCCCAAAAATAAAATAAACCAACACCATTCAGGATTATAACTACTCCATGACAAACAAGTCAATGTAGCAGCTGTGGCTAACGTCGGCTTGCTCACAGTGCTAATGCTAGCTTTACATTGCTGGTGCAGCTACGTATTTTGTTGAAGATGAAAATATCTTGTAATGATTGCACATAATTATGAATCGTTATGTTTGAAAGTCATGCCCGTTAGTGGTGGCTGTGACTTTGGCCAGAAATTTGGGGGAAAATAATGGAAGTGAGGCTATACTCAAATCTTGCTAGCAGCTTTGACACTCAAACTTTACGTTCGCAGTGTTAAATCTGCGTAGTTTAGTCAATAATTTGAACTGGTAATTGGAATTTGAAAATGAAATTTGTGAAAGCGAACACAACCGTGGCAAAATAGCAGGATGTTGTAAGAAATGAAAATCAAACCAAAACCATGGTAAATCATTTCTAAATTAAAAATACTACTAATACATTTATAAATTCAATGTAGATTAAATGTGCTCACATAATACTTATATTAATCATCGTAATAAAATCCATCCATTATCCGAGCTGCTCATATTTAAACAAGGTCTTTCAAGAGACCCCAGGAAGCTTTTGAGTGAAGGACTTAATACGATCTGAGGACTCTTCCTTACGAAAGTGCTACAAACATGTCCGACTGTGAATTCTAATTGAGTTCAAAGAGGATTCATGTCCAGGCTGTGGCTAGAACATTCTCAAAAATGAATCTGCTTGTGATGCAGCCATTCATTTGTTGACTGTTTATTTTATTTTCAGCAATGGAGGATGGCTGCTCTGTCCACAGACGGTAGCTCAGTGGAATGCATGCGCTATTCAAGGCCCAAATGTCAATGGCAACATTCCGTACCTACCTCAAAAAGTACTGACGAGTTGGGAGGAATTTTGTCTGGATTTCCAGCGGAGCCATAAGCGTACTCCGGCTTACACAGCAAAGTGCACACCTCTCCTCTTTGCATCGATAACACGCCGATATCCCATGCTTTGAGGACCTGTCCTGTTTGTATCCAAGAAAAATATGTTTCTAAGTTATAGGTTATACATGTTTTTACATTTAAATAAGCTCTTAAAAAGTTGCAGTCACCACAGAGAAAACACTGAAAGGGAACACTCAAACAGCTGTTGGGTTTCTGCACGGTAAGAATAAATTTGTGATGAGTAAAGATGACCAAACCAATGGATTGAAGGGAAATACTATAACTAGCTGTAGAATGTAGCTTCATGATTAAGCAACAGTCAGAAGAAACGGCTCCCACAACACCGACAAACCACATCCATGTTATGAGATCCATTCTCAACAGTCATGTTAGCAGTAACACAGCATGACAGTTGTGAAAGAAATCCCCTAATAATTAAACGAAATTTCAAACTATGGTGAAAAATAACAAGCACTCAATTGGAGGTGTGTTAAATATGGGATCGTCACTTTGGAATGTTCGCCTTCCTTTTTGGAGGGTCTGTGTGAATTGAGGCCAACAATGCACTGCCGCAGTGTGTACGCAAATAACAGGTTCTTTTGTTTTTTTTCTGTTGACAGAAAACTAGTCATGTTGCCTTTTAGTGGAGAGATGTACACCACAGGGTCTCTCTCTCTCTCTCTGTCTGTCTGTCTGTCTGTCTCTCTCTCTCTCTCTCTCTCTCTTCTCTCTCTCTCTCTCTCTCTCTGTGTGTGTGTGTGCGTGTGTGTGTGTGTGTGTGTGTGCGCGTGTGTGTGTGTGTGTGTGTGTGTGTGTGTGTGTGTGTGTGTGTGTGTGTGTGTGTGTGTGTGTGTACATAAAATTGAAATGCCAGATTTCTAGTCCTGACTGGTTCAATCAGATTACAAAATGACACCGAGAAATTCATTGCATCATACCCTCTTGAACTGAACCATATCGACTCAAATCAGAATCCTACTCAGTCGAAACAATCGTTCCGTTTTTAAATTGAACCGTCCTTGAATCTTATCACATGCCATGTATCAAGATATGTATCGAAACATCTTTTATTGGAGGGACGCACATCCTTTATGGAAGCTTTCAGACGTGAAATTGCATGTGAATGGCGGTATTCTTACATAATAAATCATTATACCCATCCCTGGTGATCATGGCAACGACAGAGATAAGCCTAATTCAACGTTCTCCTCACAGCAAGAAAAATGTTGATCTCAAGTGTTCTATTTGCATGCCGTAGAGGAGAAATAAAGAAAGAGGGGTGAGTCACCTACCCTTGCCAACATTGAACGAAAAGGACTCTTTACGATCCCGGCTACAGTCAAACTTCTTCCCAGTGAGGAGACTTCCCGTGTAATGGATTGTCACTCTGTCCCCTATCATTGGGCACTCTCCGTCATGCCCATGACGCTTGAAAACCTTCAAGCAGCAAGATGATTTAAAAAAAAAAAAAAAAAAAAAGGAATGTTTACAAAGCCTCTGCCATGTGACAGAAAAGTGCCCAAAGCAAATCTCATACTACAAAAGATGACAACAGTACCTTGATTATTCCTTGGTCTTTTTTCGGTGTTACATCAATGCCCTTTGCAGCAAACACAGCAGCAGCCAAGGCCCCGTCCATAGAAAGATCCTGATCAGTTGTCATGTCTTCTTGTGGGCATTCCAGTGACGCTGGGTCATAATCCAGACACAAATTTGGTGTTATCACATTTATCAAGCTGTGCTTGAATTATCTTTCATCCATGCGAATGCTAATGCTAATCCAAAATGTACTTCTTTCTCTTTTATATGGCCTTAACTCACATCTATACAAAGACACATGCAAAAGATGAGCGGCAGACATTTTATGATCTTCCAACTTTGCCTGCATTTGGACTGTAGGTCTGAGAGACTTTATCCAGTTTGGGGTTGTTTTTTGTTTTTTTTATGTCAATAGAAACACTGCTGCTGTGATTGTGTTTACTGAACCCATGAAACAACGTGCATGATGACAAAAATGAATAACTGCTGCCTGTGATGTACCACAGGGTTTGCTTTTAGGCACAATTTTATGTTCTCATCTATGGCCCTTGGCCACATAATCATCATTAGAAGCCTCGCTGCTCCAAAAGAATGCCTTTCTGACAACAGCTGCTCGACTTCTCAAAATATCAAGGCAACACCATCCATCCATCCATTATCTGATCCACTTATCCTCACAATTATTATCATCATCATCGTCATCCTCATCATTACAATTATTATTATCCATCCATCCATTTTCTAATCCGCTTAGTCTCACAAGGGTCGCAGGTGTGCTGGAGCCTATCCCAGCCATCTTCGGGCAGTAGGCGGGGTATACCCTGAACTGGTTGCCAGCCAATCGCAGGGTACACAGAGATGAAACAATCACACGCGCCCACAATCACACCGAAGGACCATGGATGTTTTTGGAATGAAAGAGGAAACCGGAGTACCCTGCGAAAACCCACACAGGCACGGGGTGAACATGCAAACACACAGGAAGGCCGGAGCCAGAATCAAACCTTGCACCTCTGCATTGAGGGGCGGACTTGCGAACTAGTCGACAACCGTGCTGCCCACACGACACCATATCACCCCAATTTGTGCATCATTTTATTGGCTTCAAATCTGTCTGACATTACATTTTAGATTTTACTTTTAAAGCACAGATGACACTGGCTCCAAGATATAGAACTGAAGTTTTAAACCCTGGCGGCCGTGTGTCAGTCGGCCCTTCGATAGTCATTCCAGAGTCGAGATGTAACACTAAAGCTGAGAGAGCATTTTCCATCAGAGACGCACAATATCGGTTGCGTCTTTTAAATCACTGAAACTGCACAGATAGGCTTTTATGTGATGTCGTCTTCTCCCCTTTTTTTATTTCTTATTTTATTGATTTTATCTTGTATTTTTCTAGTGTGTGTGTGTGTGTGTGTGTGTGTGTGTGTGTGTGTGTGTGTGTGCGTGCGTATAGTTTGTAGTAAGATGCTTTTTTGGCTCATGCCAGCATTTTTTTAACTCAAATTTCAGATTGAAACCATTAGTACACAGTTGAAATCAAATGCTTATCTTTCTTGTATTTAAACCATGTTGAAAGGCAATTTAGCATAAAGTCTCTGCTGCCAAAATTGCCATTAAAACAACCGGTCGTCCTTTGTGAAGTGAAACTTTTCAGAGTTCGTGGCAGTGTCAACACATGAGTTTGTTTGCAATAATGCAAAAAAAAAACCTGCCAGCAAAATATGTGGCGGGGCTGATAAAAAGCGTTGATAAGCACAATGGGATACATTTCTGATGGATCATGTCATTCGGAAAGGAGACTGTTTTTTTTTTTCACGCAACGTTTGAATACTTCACAAACTTCTTTTTGTGTGTGTGTGTGTGTGTGTGTGTGTGTGTGTGTGTGTGTGTGTGTGTGTGTGTGTGTGTGTGTGTGTGTGTGTGCGCATGCTCACGAGAGGCGAACCAGAGTGAATATGGTAGGGGCCAAATGCAAAACTGTGTGTGCTCAAACTCAGAGCGAAAAATTTGCATACTTTCAAAGAAATGTGCATACACATTCTTTTGGCCAGATTCATAAAGTTGTGCAAATCATACCTCAACTTTAAGAAGTAAACACATGCACAGGCCTCAATTCTACTCTCTCAGCCAACCATTTGCATATAAAAACACGGTCCTCACCCAGTCGCCATAGTAAAGTCCTAAAAAGGCTCCTGACACCTGACACAAATGGAAAGTGATCATCAGGTGCGCCAAGGGAACTTATCCAATTTTGCTTTATTAGTCTCAAGATTATTCTTGACCTCTGTGTGTCGCTTTATTAGCTTTGTATTCAAACTAAAAAGGCCTAGAACGCACACTTAAATTTGCTTTACAAGTACTGCTACTGATCACTTTAAAATGGTACAATGATTATCTATAACAACTGCACAACTGTTATAGTATTGTATTCTACCACTGATCACTTCAGCTCTGCTTGATACTGTTGGGGGGAAAGTGGCCTTCTTTCCTCCGCGTGTTTGTTAATTTCGGATGATGACGTTGGTTCGGATGAGGATGTTGGTTATCCAAATACAGGCTGGAGACGATGAACAGTACCTTCGAAGGTTTTATTTTTCTTTTCTTTAGTTTACGAATCGATTCGGGCCCCTGAGAGTTTCAGATTTCGTCAGGAAGCCCAGAAAAAATACAGTCATGAGAATATATAGAGACAACATGATAATGAGAGGTGGGGAGTTACGCCTCCATGCAAATCCCGGAGACAAAGAAAGGTCGATGCAATTCGATCTTGGCATGTTGGGAAAGTCCAGACCTCTCCTGCTGTGCGTAAATGTTGAGATAAGCGTCTCTCCCCGGGGGAACTTGACGACCTTGAGGGATTCTCCCGAGGTGGGGGTCAAGGAGCACTAAAGGTGATTGTAATCACAGTAAGCAGGAAATACCTTCAACAACATTCTACATTCTTTGTTTCAAGTGTTTGAACAGAAACAACAACAGAGAGAGGCTAAAAAAAAAAAAAAAAATCACAGTAAGGAATAGATTCCTGAACAATACTTTGCACATTGTCTCACAGCTGTCATTGGGTGCTACTACCGCACAACGGTATCCTTACATTACGGAATGTCTTTCCATACTTATTTGTCATATCCTTGTTTATCGTAGTTGCTTGTTAGTGATGATACTTGAGTAGCGTGTACTAACGGAGACAAATTCCTTGTGTGTTCTACATGCTTGGCCAAAAAAGATGATTCTGATTCTGATTCTAATTCCAATTTGTGAGTAAATTCAGACAAGATCATCATTAATTCAGGATACATACAATTTGTGATCATTTAGATTGGTGGGGTGCCATGAGATTTTTCAAATGTAAAATGTATGCCTTGGCTAAGTAAAGGTTGGGAAACTATGCTTCTAATAACATTAATAGGAATGAGCTAACTGAAGATAGAGGTTGCCATGGTGGCGGCTGAATAAGATGTGTATTTGTTTAAGTGTAGAGTTTAAGGTTCACTGAAGGAGATAATCAGGAAAACATTGTTGCCATTTTTCTTCACACACCAAAAAAGAGACGTTGGTGGAGAAAAAGTGAAGGAACCGAAAGGCGAGGTACCATACAGTGAAATAAATCTTTGTCAAAAATGTCTGGGGGGAAAAAAATAATAAAAATAAATTAAAGACGCAGAGAAAATGTCAAAATTCCCTCATGCATGATGTCAAGACGTCAGCTCACTGAGCCACTTAAGGATTAACCCCACAAGTGCCTTTTGCTTTTTCTTTGCCTTTTTCGCTTTCATGCCTGTGATGGTAGAACATTGCGACGCCAGTCCTGGCTGCTCAGTCCCACGTGTGCAGCGTGTGCAACACGGCGAAAGTCAACGTCGGGAATACAAGATGAAGAACGGAATGTACACTGTGAGCATGATCCTGGTCCGGCGGATTTGTCATCAAATGAGGAAGCGTATATTTACATGTCATAAGCAATTAACTTTTTCCACTCGTTAAGAATGTTAAAAAAAAAGGATGACATGCGAATTTGACTGGTCAGCAAGCCTTTCTCTCCCCAGCTCCTTCCACACTAGTAGTTTTATTTTATTTAGGTTATGTTACATATTTAAGATGGCGACAGAATTCAATTTCTTTCCGACTGGAAAGTGAGTGTTCATCCTTTTAAGGTCATACCAGCCTGGCTTTAGAAAGCAAGGGAACCAAATTGCTCTTTGCGCATTCAAGGGTTACAAGTCGATAAGTTCACAACTACTTAGTTAGTCAGGCGAGGCTGTAAGAACATTGTGTGCTTTGGTAAAATGAGCTCGACCGAGGGAAGGAACAAAATAGCCTCAAGAGGAAGCGAGATGGAGACAGCGTGTACTCCTGTTTACTGGCAGCAGTTTTATGATGAGCAGAATGCTGACGATGTGATCAGACACCCTGAATTACTTTGTCAATTCAACTTCTGCCAATTTAGTTGGATTTGAACTTCATCATAACTCTGTTTGGGCTACTTTCTTCAAATGTCTCCATAGTGTGCACCCTTTTTCTTAATCTTATTCGGTTATTTTAAAACCCATCTCTCTTTGAGAGACATGGCAACAAAGACAAAATTGATCTGTCAACCAACGGAGCTTCAGATTGTGGCAACGTCTTGTCTGTGGTTTGTTCCGATACATATATATATATATATATATATATACACATTCATACAGCACATTACTTCTGTTTGTACATTGAGTGAAAAACAATTCTTATCTTTAAATTTGAGGTGGGCCCCCCCCCGAAATAAATCTAAGTCAACACAGTGCCCTCAAATTGTGTTGTACGTGTACGTGTGTACATGTGTACGTGTCGTGTGTGTGTGTCTGAACACCATGTTCCTTCTATTCACATTTCCCCACCGGTGTAGCCTGATGGTGTTCTGCAATCTCAAACCCCTCCGCTTATGAAACCTGTTTCATTTGAGTCACCTTCCATGGCATTTCATCTCGTTCAATGTATTGATCACATTGTGATGAAACCCCATGACAATAGCTACGAAGATGTTTCTTTCCATGACAATGGCTACGAAGATGTTTCTTTCCATGTATCAAAACCGCAGTGAAAACAACAAATTACATTAAAGTGTGTGAAGACCATACCTAAACTCAGAAACCCTTCGCTGGAACGTGAGGACATCTAACTGGCTCAAATGTAGAATTCCGGGAGAAATGAATCAATTGACATGCCTTTTTTGTTGATGATGAAATATTATGATTATCATAAGAGTGATCATCTTAAAACTTGGTGCAAAGCATAAAGCATTACGCCCATAGGTGACGTCCCAGGGCTTCTTTTCTTCTATTTCTTTTACCATTCTTGGCATTAAAAAAAAAGTAATTAAAACATGTGAAAATTTACCATACATTCAAACATGAATGATGCATTTAGAGGATTCTTATGTAATAACAGAAACATGGAAAACGACATTTTAAACATGAAGGATTAATTTTCATCCATGCTCTGTAACATTCATGTGAAATCACATCATCAATATAAATTAATTTCTCTGATCTTCGGACATAACATTAGATGGGCTGGTTCATAACACGGTTAAAAAAATAATGAGAAATAAAGGGTCATTTAACCCCCCCCCCCCTTTTCCACAGCACAGTGGGCTACACCTGCAACCTCAAATGCCCCCCATACATGTTACATCCTCAACACATCAACAGCACCAGTACGTCACATAAAACCCATTTCCGTCTTCATAATGGACTAATTCTTCAGGATGCATAAAAAAAAACAAAACGATCTCAGTCACTCAATGAGCAGAGAGCTGCCGAATCACATAAGACCTTAAGAAACACTCCAATTAAGTCACAGATGAGCAAAATAAATAATAAGACTCACATTTTCTTGTGCCTCTTGTTTAAAAATAAATATCCAACATGGGAAAGTGAACTAAAGAACGCCGGTTCCTGCTAGATGATTACAGTGCGGCGTACGTCACGTCCTGGGTACGAGATGTTCCGACGCGCTACACCGGATTGGCGACCTGTGTTCGGTTTGCACACCTCAAACGTAGCGGCCACATGGAGTGCACAAGTCAAAATGAGCCGGGGGACGTACAGAAGCGGAAAATACGCAAGGGTAGGGGCGGGTGTGGGAAAAGGGGGGGGTGTCGAGCAGAGTGAGAGAGTGGAGCGGCGTGAGGGCTTTCGGTATAAAAATTAAGGGCAGGTCTTGGAAAGGAGCCACAAAGTAACACAATGTTCCGTACTGTGGCTGCACCGCCGCCGCTGCTGCTGATGAGAACACTGTGTTCCAAATAGACACACTGACCTGTAACCCGTTCTGTGCCGAACTTGGTCTGCCGGGAACAGGCTGTTCCGTAACAAGCTGTCCTCCTCCCACTCAAGGTCAGCTGACAGCTCGGATCGTCGACACCGCCGGGCAAGCGCAAACCGAGACGACTGACACCACAGCGGCAAGCGAAGCTCTCGGCAGCCAGAGTAGGAGAGCCTGGGGGGTTGCTTGATGCTATTCCACGACGCGCCGTTCGTTGAAGCGCTGCTCACCAGCGTTTTAAAATAAATGTAAATAAGTTTTAGTTTTCGGATTTCCACGGAATATTTGAAAAAAAAATCATAATGTCTACATGAATGGATTAAAAAAAAGCAAAGTAACACAGGTATGACATTTTACTATTTTTTTAAATTGGTTATGCAAGGGGACTTTTAGTGCTATTTTTTTCCCCTGCCGATTCCAAAACTGCCCTTGTTTTTTCAATAGCAAGGCCCGTGAAAACGGGCGTCACACTCATTTTTGTCACTGGCTACATCACAGTGATGGATTACCTGAAATGTATAATCACCATTTTACATATTGCCTTCATCATTGCACCTGCACTTTATTGAGACTATCTTCTCTAGCAACAAACTGAGTTTCAATCACAAGCCAGAAAATAGTAACAACATATATATATATATATATATATATATGCACACACACACGCACACACGACAATATGGTTACATTTTTGTTAACATTTAATCTATTTGGCAAGAAATATGAAGAGGACATGAATGACTTTGGTGGACCACAAGAAATACAGAACAATACAATACATCTTTATTTCCATCACGCTCTCACAACAGCTGCAGCTGTAACAAAGCGCTTTACAAAACAGTTCACATAAAACAACAAAATACGGTAATATAACAAAACACGTAACAAAAGACAATGAAATCTGCCTCCTGGGGCCATAATTTTGACACATGCAATAAAACAAACATCATACTAAACCAGCTCTTTTTTGTTCTAGGCCAACTCAAAGCTCTGATGTAATAATACTTGCGAGCGTAATTCATCCTGTGACCATGTTAGGAACTCAATTTACTTGTACAGTAATCCCCCAACGCCACACACACACACACACACACACACACACACACACACACACACACACACACACACACACACACACAAACACACAAACACACACACACACACACACACACATTGTTGCATTTGCATGTTGATGTGTGCCATTTAAAGGCAGTGGCTTAGTTAAGGACACAAGGAGCTCTGACTCTTGTTCCATTAGTTCAGTGTTAACATCTATTCCATGCTCCTTGCGAGTGTTCATTTTGTATTCATGAGTTTGACTGTCTCCTCTGTTCGGGGTTCCTGGGGCACAAAATAAAGTTTCAGAACTCCTGTTCTAGCCTATTCAGGACTTTTGTGAACGGATATTCAAAAGTTGCTTTCTCCTTTATGAATGAATCTTAAAAAAAAAACTTTAATTATCATGATGTAAGATATAACTCTTACATGAAAGGGCAAGACTAAAGCCTACATTGCACACTACATGACAAGTTGACACATGAGCAAATTTTCCCATAATGAAATTTATACAATATTGTATAATGAAATTTAACACCACATTATCAAGTACTGTAGCCAGAGAACGGAAGAAAAATTCCCCAACTCGAAAAAGTCCACCAGAGACCAAGACTCACTATGGGGTGGCCATCTGCCGAGACCACAGACTTAATGCCGCTATTGGCAAATAAGAGTTTCACTCCATGACTAATGACCGTCATAAACAAGAATATGTTTTATTTGTGAGGAAACCATTTGGCTTTGACCCCACCCCCCTTCCAAAAAAAAAAAACATTCAGGCCTGTTCTAAAAATAGCTCACTAGAGATGGGACAGTGTGATTTCCTTGAAATGTTGTACAAGTGATTATTTGGAAATGTAAACACGTGCTGAGATTTACTAAGATAAAGTTAAGCGTTACATATTGATATATATTTTTCCTATGTTGTATAATAATAATTGTTGATAATCAGTGAGAGAAATCATGATCAACCCTGATCAGTGCCTTCGTGTAAATGAAAAATACGGCCTGACCGATTAATCAGCCAATTTAATCGACTTGTGTTAGCTTTTAAAATCCTCTAAAGTCAGCTACTATTTTGAAGATTTTTTTTTCACACATTAACACAGAGCAACATCAGGCAAAGATAATGACATTCAAACATGGCCCCCCTTAAAAAAAGTGTTTAGGCTCATTTATGCACTTGCATCTGCAGGGTTTGAAGGGTTAAGCACATATGAAACCAATACACATATAAATTTTAAAAAAGCAAGTAAAAACTATGCCATCTGTATTTTAAAATGTTTCCACAAAAAACCCTTTCATAATAAGACTCATTCACATGAACCTGCAAAAAGGACTGGAAACAGTGACTCTAATCAAACAAAATGTCGTACGTGTATCACTTTCACACCAACTGCTTGTCCTTTTGTGTACATTTCAACCTTTGAATGGAATTTGACTTCATCAAGTAATGTGTCACAAAGTTACATAATAAGCGTAACTGCAACATCTTGTTGGCCTTTTGTTTTTGGTAGCGACTACTCATGCATGCCTTGCACTAGTTGTCAGTCTTAACAAGGAAACATTAAAGGAGTCGATTAAAAAAAAAACAACGTTGGTTAATGATTATCTTTTGGTTGGAAATGACAGGAAACGACAAAGGGCTCTAAGACATTGTGTTTGGAGTCTATGTGTTCACTACTTTTGTTCTCTCCTGAAAAAAAAAAATGTGATGCCAAAAAAATGATCTCCTAAAAATGTATGTCTAATGTTGTAAACTTGTTGATCACAATATGTGATGTTAAACTTCACTAGGATCTTAATTATCTTAAAATAATGATTACACAAAATGTTAAATTTCCTCAAATTTGTCAAAACAGGGAATAAGTGTCAGTATTTTGAAATCGATGAGAATGGCAAACTATTTTTTTATTAACGTCTCAAACACAACTCTTTCTTGTGGCATTCCATTCACGTCAGTTTGCAGCCACTAAAGTGATTTGTGCAAACTTGTCCAGTGAGTCATTTTTTTGTGTTTTGTCCAAGTGAAGGGAATTCCCTTCCAATTAATGATTTGTCAAATACAAGACAGTCTTACGGGATACAGTTTAAAAAAAAAAAAAAAAAATGTTTCTGAAAACCTGAACTGATGTTAGTGTACTTTTGATTTGGTCGTGTATTGTACTTTACGGTGTTATCTGCACAGTCAAAGATTCATCTGAAAAGAATAGACAGTGCTCTTATCAGAGAAACACAAGTAACCTAATGAAGAAGATATAATGCATCACAAATCATCAAGGAAACCCCTTGAGACCATTGGTTTGTCAACATTTTTTCGACAGTACCCTAAGAAATCGCAGTGCAATTTAGCTTGTCGTTATTGTTTTAGCAGTAAAAAAAAAAAATCTAAACTGCTGTTAGAAGCGAGACAACGTGTCTTATTAAAACTCATTCACTCCCAAAGACATATTTATATGTCTTCTCACACTCCACACGTTCAACCCCAGATACTTATTTTTTTCTATTTTTTTTCTATTTTTTTACCCTATGTCTTGAAAAAAATTGAAACAAAATAATGTAAGTAGCTGGGGTTGAACGTGTGGAGTGTGAAAAGACATAAATATGTCTTTGGGAGTGAATGAGTTAATATATTAAACCTTTACAATTATCTGACTCATCTGTTACTTTTTTGACCTTGTCCTTGAATTGTTGTTGGTTTTTTTTTTTGTTTTCTTTTTTTTTTTTATGATTGCATTGTTTTGTAATTCAAAAAAAAAAAAAGACAGCATCCTGCATCTTATTTCCACGACTTTGCCAAAAACATTGCCTCGTCGTTGTTATCTTTAATTTGGTTGGATTTAATGTTTTCTAAGTGTACTGCAGCACATCTCCCACCCATCATGGTATGGACATCAGAACGCTGTCAAGCCGCCTTGTTGGCACCTAGCCAAACACCAATGGAAAGGAACACGGTGATCTTGGTTATAACAAAGGTGACATAACACGAGTGAATTTGATTCTGCAAGTCCACCGGGAGGTTGTCACCCTGGATGAGTAATATAGTGAGGCGCCAGGAGGAAAGACAGTCTCTCACATACTAGTGGAACATTTTATTCAAAAGAGCAAAGATAATACACCAAGAAAACAGTTGTCATCAAAGAAGACAAACAGCCGTTCATCGTGCGATGCCTCCCACCAATTGATAAGAACACCTGTTGATAAGAAAGCTTTAGATGTTCTCGTAATCATCGTGTTGTTTTTCACAGTGGCTGATGTGCAGATTGTGGCGGCATGTTCTCCGGCTCGCTATGCTTACGTGGAAGTCATGATGACCTCATCTGACCCGACGTGAAATGAAATGCTCGAATAAATGTTTATACTGACGCGCTGTGTGAGACCACATTGCTTGTTCCATCAGCAACATCCTGGACTTTGCTACGGCCAAATCTGTCGACAGAAACGCTCAAACAATATCTGCTTTTTTTTCCCCTTGTCAAATATGTATTTCAATATATTAATGAATGTCAGAGAAATAGCTCAGAACAGAACAATCGTGATGGTGCAATCATTTCAAAATGACAATTTGTGATTTGTGTTACTGATGGGTGCATGATGTCTTTAAATCTTTTTTGTATTTAATCTTGTGTCTTGTGGTTATGGGTGTGTTTTACTCGACAAAACGTTGTTTTGTGTTTTTTTGTAAATCCATCCACATAAAATAAATAAACCTGCTTTGCTGTCTCTTATACTACTATTTTATCCTTTTCCGAGAGCGAGTCTTAGTACGTGTTATCTTTTTAGGCCATATAAGTGCCCCCACACAGCACTGAAAAAAAAAAATGACAGGCAGTTGCGGGAATCCGTCTGTCTTGTGTCTCGGTGTAACCAGAAGCACGCGGGTGAGTTCATTCAGGGATACAGCCTGCACAGTCATCAGGAAGTGAAACAGAACAGAATGTGCTGTACTAATCGTACCGAAAAACACTACCCTGAGTGGATGCATGAAAAAAAAGAACTCATTCACAACAGAGCACAACTGGGCACTTTACAGAATAAACAAACGGTGTTCAACATTTCACTCAGCGAAGAGAAGACACAAGGGGTTGGGGATCAAGGTAGAAAAGTGTGTACCGTCCTACGAGAACTGACACATGAATTAGCTGAGCGGCCTAATGCTCTTTGTGTTGTAGCCGTCCGTGTTACGTACATGGCATAATCTCCTGTGTGCTTCTGTTTATCCCTGAACTTTTACTCTGTAAATGAGTAGAAGCAGGAAAACTACTAAAAAAAAAAAACAACAACTTCCATGAATTTGTTGCCTGCTGACTACACAATGGTTGGATTCTGTAAAGCTCAAGGTTTAACTTTGGTGCATGGCGACATGACATCAAAGAAGCATCCTTATTTTTAAACTCATTGTGAAGACGCTGTTGCTTTGTTTTTGTAGACTCACAAGTATAGTGAGCAAAATACTAATTTATTGGGTTGATTTCATTTTCGATGTGAGCGCTGCATGCAGTCAACTCACCTCACAACAAGCAGCGTTTTGGTTGATAGTACTGTACTGTCATTTCGTCCATTTCGCTTCATGCTAACAGTTGAAATTTACTGCCATGACACAATAAACATGAAACAAAAAGAAATACAGTATACTTGTATTTGAACCAACCAGCTAGCTTTATTTAGAAAAATCCATTGAGCTTCATGCTAATCAAAGAGTTGAAGTTCACTGTTGCAATAAACACAAAAGAATAAGAATTACACTTGTATTTCACCAACCAGATAGCCTTCCTTTAGATACTGTTTGACCATTTAACTAAAAGCCAACAAACAGTTGAAGCAAACTAGCTCACTAAGCATGAAACAAAAATAATTATACTTGCATTTCCAGCTAGCTTTAATGTATGTTCATGTAGTTTAATATTAAAACAATGCAATTTTAGATATATATGTATGGACTCAAGAATGCATCATTGAAAATGAATGGATCGAAAGTTTAATCAAAAATAAAGTAAATGTGAATTGTGAAGAACATTAATGTTGTATCTGCTCAGAGAGTTTGTGCATATTATTATGTGACATTAATGTGGTAGAGTAGACTATATGGAAGTAAGCATTACATTTTTGTGTACATGCATGCCTTTTTTGATGTGAGAGGATTTATGGTATGTAAGAATTTTGCTGCCTTCAATTTTCTCATGGGATTGATAAAGTATATTAAGGGTGTAAATTTCTACACAAAAAATGATTTGAGATGGTTTTCGATCCGTGGGGTGAACCACTCCAAGCACAGTTCGATTTGAAAGTGGATCGATTCGATTCAGTTCAACTTAGTTGGCTTACAATTTGATTCGATAAGGTACAGCCCAGTTTGAGAGGGGATGACACAATGGCTTTTGTAGTTTTTGTTTGTTTGTTTGTTTTGTTTTTTGCTTAACACATCACATATAATTTGGCAGACTTCGTAGTGGATATATATACACATGTATATTTTTTTTCACAGTCATCATTTCACGTCATGTGAGTAATGGTTTCTGATGTTTAAGCAGAATTAATTCTAAAACATTAATAATTTGATCTGTTTTCATTGGTCCTTTTCATAGATAGGCAGTGTTGACAACATGTGTTTCCGTGTACGTGTTTGGTTGTGTGTGCGTGTGTGTGTGTACATGTGTGTTAGTGATCTTGTATCTTCGTGTTATATCAAATAGATTTGTACGACAATAAGAACCTGTCATCCAGCTAAATGTGAAGGAGCACACATATAATCACGCAAATGTAGGAAACAGCCTTGACTATTGCAGATCCATCCTAACATGCATCTTTTAGATAATATCCAACATTAACTTCCCTCCATCAGAGAGCACGTCATTTCCAGAAACTAAATCTGACCTATATTCAAAGCTGGCAACACACAGGCAGGAAAACTCTGTCATGAACCAATTTCATCCATCTTCTCTGGCTAATTGGAAGTTGGTTGGAATGCATTCGTGGGTAATGTCACCATAACAAGGTTAAATGTCAACATTGACAGTAGGAACATTATCTAAACATAGACGGGCGTGGAGCGTGATCTTAAAAAAGAGCAACAGACAACAATAAATTACTGAACTGTGTCATGTTAAAAAAAAACCCACACAAAAAAACCATAGATGTAAAAATATTTGAAAGTGGATCCTCCTTGCCATGCACAGCAAATCCTTCCTCGCTTGCCTTGAGGGAACGTAAGAGCTGAAAACTAAACTGCAGCATATAGTACATGGAGCATGTTTGGCGAGTCATCTCCTGTTGAGCAATGAACCATCTTGTTGATTTAGTCATATTCCCTGCTGAGTAATACGCAAACCACAGCAAATGTATGTTTGTGCTGCAGAACATCAGAACTGTAATACCGATGAACAACTTCCTTGGTAACACAGAACATTTAGAGAATGTTCCTTCTGAGTTATGTAGAAACCCACCAAAGCATAATGTTTCCTAAATATTGAGAGAACCAACAACTTCACTGTTGCCTCCAGTGGTTCTGTTTTGGCTGTCCTTAGAACATTGACTAGTTGTTTCAAACTAATAGAAAATATACACATGAGGCAATAACACAAATAATTATTTGTATTTTTGCAATATGTAGTGGTGTCAAGTGTTTAACATTTTTTAACTAACTAGTCGCACAATTTTCTGTGACTAATCACGACTAAGAACTTTTTTTCTAATTCTCTTTTCTACAAAGCTTGTAACACATATTTACTCCAGTAATACATTGGAATTAATGTGAAATCGTCAAATAGAAACCGTATTTAGATTGTAATGGCATTCTTTGACCCTTGAACAAATTTCTTCTCCTGTAAAATGCAACTGTTGAGCAAAAAGATCAAAACTGACGCAGCTTTACGGGCATCTTTATTATATTTTTCGAGAAACAATTCTCAAAATTTCTCGCTTACACGCTTAGTTCTACCCACCAGCATCACACTCCAGCAGCATTGATTTGCAGGTTATTTTGCTCTGAGGTAATACACGGAAGACGTACAACCAATATGGTAATTGAATTTGAGTTTGCAAAGTGGTCAAATTAGACTTCTCCAACGAGCGTCAAGCAACTTTTGAATGTAAATCTATGATTATATAACCGCGCTAACTTGTTTGTTTAGTGTACAAGTATTAACCTCAGTCAAATTTGATGATCCCTGGTTGATGGCAAATTACATTTAAAGTGCAAAAATGTTCTTATTAATCAGCAGAGAGACTTTATTGCAGGCTAACTGGCCCAGATAAAACAAGACAATACATACAAAAGATAAAAAGACACATAAAGTACCATATGCAACATATTCACCCAACAAATAAATGTTAAATAACGTCAGAAGAGACTTATTTAACATCACCTGTTCATAATGCGAAAGTCGGTGACCTCAGAGGAGGTCATTTATGTTGATATTCATTCAATTTTGTATAATGACCTCTTTTAAGGTGGTGAAATGTTTATAAAGCTTGTGAATTCATTCTTTTTTTTAATCTATCACTTTCTTCCACACGGAACCAAACGTATCGGCAAGAAACGTAACACTACATCTTCCACTGCAGTAGAGGGCGCTGTTTTCTAAGCGGGCACTCACAACAAATAAGAACGTCATCCCTTTACGTTTGCATATGCTGCCGGCGCTAACAACAAGTTAAGATACTGGTGTGGTCGGACGAAACTCGACGGTAACAGTTTCTGTCGCGCAAAATCCACAATACTGGTGAGTTTAAGTCAAAGTTGACTTTGTAAGTATCAAACAAAATAGACTCTCTGGCCTCAGCGGTGGTGTCGAGTTCGGTCAGTCGAAACGCAAGGGGCCTCGGAAAAGTGTAGGATCGATGCTAATGTTACTTGCTAACATTAGCGTCCATGTTGCGTATTTGATCAGAGGGGGGATGGGAAGCCTAACTGGCTCTATTTTTACTTGTTGGCTTGCTTTGTTGAATTAATTTAAAGTGTTAAGGTTGTGTGCTGTTGGCGGCCAGGTGTTGACATTCAAAGTCGTCGTTGACGTTTACTTTGAAGATGCATTTGGAAACGGGCGTGCTAAATACTGCTAGCGTGCGTCAGCTTTACGGTTAGCGGACAGCATTGCCGCGTTCCATTCCTATCCCAAGTGTGGCGTCCTTAGACCGTGCCTTAAACAACTATTTGAATCGAATGCTGGACTTATTTGCTCTAATTACATCATTAGTCTTTACATATTTCCCAGATCTTCTTGTTAAAAGTCATTTAATGCGCGATGATGATATTTATTTATGAATGGAGTCAATGTGTCAAAGTTCGACTAAAGTTCAACATTGCTCTTCAAAACTGTGTTTGTGGGAAATAAAAGCGACGGGGAGCTCTTTTTGGGCTTAAACGAAGGAAAAGACACGTGATATCGCAATTGTAAAAACATTTTTGGAGAAATCCTTTATTATATGAACACACGGATAAGTGGTTAACAAAGCTTAACACGGAAATGGATTGTTTGGGACCTCCGAATGTTGGCAGCCTCAATGTAAAATGACTGCTTAGGCAGGAAATATTTTTCAAACAAATGCTGCATAGTACCATGGTCATGATTGCTCCAATGCTGCTCCCATTTTACCATATTGGTCCATCATTCAATTTACTAATGTGTTTTCTGTTTTATTAGTATCACTACTATTGCGTGATACGGGTATCTAAATTGGGATCGAGGGTGTGGCCAGTGGAGGTTCTGGTATTTGGCAAGGCAAAATTCTGATAACCAGTTAATCTGCTGAATTAAAAAAATAAAACATCTCTAGCAATTATTTTTTTAGGCCCCTTAACATAACAAGAAACACATGAATTGCATACAGAACAGGTGACTGCTTTGCAATACTTATTAGGGATGGGTATGTGAGATTATCAATTATTATACATTTTTGTTTAGAAACACCAAAGCAAGAATAGAACCAACACAGCTTTATTTTTTATTTATAACTGTACTTGTCCTGCAACTATGACAGTAATGTAAAAAAAATACTGAAATACAAATGATTTGAACAAATCACCATTACACTGTTAAACATTATAAAAACAATTATTTTGTGTAAAAGAAAACTTGTGTAGAGCAAGGCTGGAACATCCAGTTGGGTTGCAAATAGCACTTCTCCGAGGTGAGGTGCACGTTTTCTATGTTAGGCTTGCATTTCTATTCAACCTGACTTTAAATGATTCATTGCACTTGTGACGTGCATTGATACAGCAGTTTTTTAAAAAATCTGCCCATGGGACAGTTTTGTATTGGGGTTCTGTATCCATCCCACATTTTACTCCTTCAGTATTTGTCTTCATTTCACAACAGAGAGGGAAAAAATGGGGTGTTTAAAAAAAGCCAAGCCAAGATTGTCTTTTAATGTTTGTCTATGATTCGGTTGGGTCTTAAATTAATCAACGCCGAGCATGAAGCCATTGTTCCTCGTCTGAAATCGGAGTTCAAACAAAATTCAACGGTGGCGTTGTGTTACATATATGATAGAAGAAGAAATGTAACATTTACCATTGTAAATGTTGCAGTCTGATTCCTTCTGACAAAAACAGGCAATTCAGATAAAAATGCTCTGTTGCGACAACTGTGTGAGATAAACTGTGCTTCCTCGGCTCTTTTATTGGAACTGGGATATTTGGGCAGTGTGTTACACTTACTGGTAGGGCATGTGACAACTTTCCGGATTTTTTTTTTTTCCCCCCCAGGTATTTCATCAGTAGACTTGGACCTGCTGAAATGGGAGGTATGAGGAGTTCCTACTTGGAAATATGATAACATTGTCCCCACTGGGTTACACATGGCAATACAATTTTAACAGGAAAAGTATTCACTATAAAAAAGGCCTGGGAGTATATTGTGCATTTGAATACTTTATTGATCTAACATGTACCCAGTGAGGAAACATATCCCTGAGTTTTCTCTCTCTCTCCCCCTGTCAGACCCGTCTTACAACAGAGACTGTCCCCTGGACTGCAAAGTTTACGTTGGAAATCTTGGAAACAATGGCAATAAGGCAGAGTTAGAATCAGCTTTTGGATACTTCGGCCCTTTAAGAAGTGTTTGGGTTGCCAGGAACCCGCCTGGCTTTGCCTTTGTCGAGTTTGAAGACCCAAGAGATGCCTCTGATGCTGTGAGAGAACTGGATGGAAGGTAACACATGTTCTTCCTTGTTCATCATCCAACGTCGTCACTATTTGCAATCATGCTAACTGTAAAGTGCGTTTTGTTCTTATTTATTGTCTTCTTTTTTTAAGCTCAATGTGTGGATGTCAAGTCCGTGTTGAATTATCCACTGGGGAAAAGCGTTCTAGAAGCCGCGGACCTCCTCCATCCTGGAGTCGGTACCCGAGGGATGAGGGCAGGCGCCGTAGCTCTCCAGCTAGACGCAGGTAAGTTTCTAAATCCACGACGTGTTTTTAATGTGCCACTTGCAGTATGAACACATGGCTGATTTCCCCAAACTGATTTGAAAATATTACAGCTTGATAAGTTGTTGGCAACAAAAGCATGATGATGATTCACGATGATCTGTTTGCCTCATGCAGTTCTTATGTACAGTATATTTGGCAGTGCCAAATTAGACCCAACTGTCCGAAGCAGCTTTTGTCTGCTCCCAACAAGAGAATTTCTCATTTTGTAAAAATACGCTACTCTTAGCACTGCTTTAATTCAAACATTATCAAACATATACATATTCATAGATTATTTTAGAATACATTTGACGGTATAAATTTTGTTTTGCTGAGTTCAGTTTTCCATCTATTAATAAACTGAACCCCGTTGCAGAGTCACCACCACGCTTCTCAACATCTGAGTCAGTCAACTAGTCCTCTTTCAGCATCATGTGACTGCTGACCAGCGATCTGCTTGGCTGGTTTTGTCACATGACCCAGGCGCAGCGCCAGTCGTCAGGTTCCACCAACCTTTTGGTTCCTGAGCATGCAGTTCACGGCATCCTCCTCTGCTCCAACCTTAAACCAATCAACAGCAGCCCGCCTCACTTTATCAACCAATCGGCGTGTTTACTCGTACTATTCGCCACAGTATCAACGGGAGCGGCCATTGGCTTACATCCCTCCCCCCTAAAGACAGGGAAACTCTACAGCCGTCCCCAGCAGCCAGCAAACAAGCAACTTCTTATCGGCAACATTTGCAGCATGTGGCAGATCCTCTCTGCAATTTCACCTCCCTCGCCAGGGCTACCATGCGCCATTTCTTTCTTGTCCAAACCCCCCCAAAATAGTAAGTTGCTTTTATCATGCTCTTTATAGTTGTTATGAGTTTTTCCTATTTCAAAACTCACATGTTCCACTTGGCACTTGTCTAGTTTAAATATTTAAAAGCATCCCAGTCGAGCGGCAAAACATTGCAGAGCCTTTCTGGTCTGGTGTTTTAATTGACGACAATCAGTTGCCTGTGTACATGATAGGTTTCATGGCTCAACAACTGGCCATTTGGGGTGACCTTGCACTTTTGGTTGTTTTTCCTTTTCTCTTCAAAACAATTTCACCTCTAGCAGAACTGTCTCCTGCGTAGTTCAAACCCGATGCAACATTTCATCAATACTTACTTGGTTTGCTGCAGTGCCTCTTTTGAGCCAGCAAACATCTTAAAACAGACACGCGTCTGTATTTTGTTTCCTATTTTTGTGCTGTAATATGTACTTGGATACAGTATGTAATGTTTTTACACACCATACAAAAGTAGCGACAGTTGGAGAGTATTGCACAGTTTGTAGATATCCATCAACCTTTTAAGCCCACTTTAGCACGATAGAATCTTTTCCCCCAAGTGAGCTCCATGGTTGAGCATTGATCTGAACTGACTCATTGGTTATTCTTTTTTTTTTTTTTTTTCAACACAAAAAAATTTTTTTTTTAATGTTGAGCCGTTATCTGGGAGGCCCACCGAGATGATCCTACGAGTTTTCCATTGTATCTAAACACTTCAATGCTGTTTAAAAATGTTTTCCCGGTTTCGCCTACATTTTAGATCACCTCGGAGGAGGAGCCTGAGCCGCAGTCGTAGCAGGTATGTGCAAACGAAGACCCCTCCCTCAACCCTCTTTAATGCATTAAGGAATTACTAAGCATTATTTTCCCCTTTAGGTCTCTTTCACGAGACAGACGCAGATATCGGTCTACTTCCAGAGACAAGACCCGTAAGCGATCAAGATCATTGTCGCGGTCAAGGAGGTATGTGTTACTTTCATGTTTGCAATCTACCCGAATTGAAAGGACTATTTGGTGTTTTATCGTTCTATTGTTTGTGCCCTTTCTTTTGCAGCCGATCTCGCTCTAATGACCGGAAATGAGGAAGTTACAAAATGGCTTATGTTTGTGGGACTCCAATTTTTATAGTCATGCTTTCTTTTTAGATGTTACTTCACAACTCATGGTGGTGTTGGGGTTGTCCAAGTAACCCTGACATTACAGTCAGTTACCAATAAAGGACATTTTTCCTCTGTATTTTGGTTCATTCAGCATGATTATTTTGCTTATCTTGCAGGCTTTGATTTTTGCCTGGTTTAATTTTAATTATCCTCCATCTATCCAATTGTCGAATTAAAATGTTTTTTTATTTTGCTGTTCATTTGTGTGATGGAAAACAGACTCAACTGGGGCTGTTACCGAAAGCAGGATCTGCAGCTATTTCTCATTGTCACATTTTTGAAACATTTCCCTTTTTCCTACTTGAGCTCTGACAACTTTCCTAATGAAGGTGAATCGTTTGGTCAATAAATGATTTTTCCCAAGTCAGACATTTTTCATCCTTATTTGAGATTTGATATGTATATATTGAAGTGCAACACTAAAACTAAACCAAGAATGATCTTACTACAAGTGTAAGTCACACAGGAAGCTTCCAGTCACTTGCCGTAAAAGACACACCTCCCATGTATGGACTTGACTTCCCTTCCAGTCGTGACTGCCTTCATACAGCAAAAGCTGATTAGCCGATGACACGGGCACACATCAGGGTAAGTGTTTTTACGGTGAATTTGTACAAGGCGTGTAATCTTTTGCAAACTACCCTTTTTTTTTTTTTTTTGAAACAGTTAAGAATTGCTAAATAAGTGCTTAACATACTCTGATACAAAGAGCCTACATGTATTTACATGCTTGTACTGTACTTGGATTAAAACATGTAGGACAACAGATCATGCCTGGTCCTAGTGGAAAAAAGAGACTTGGGTCTCGTCGGAGGGTTCCAACACAAGTTGAAATGCCAGAGGATTTGACTGCAGCAAATCAGTCATCACAACCAGAAGAAAGTGGTGAACCTTTCAGTGAATTGTCTAATGAAGGCGATACCCCTTTGGTCACCCATGGGATGCTTTCATCACAGCAGAAGTCAGGCAGGAGAAAGCTTGGCTCAAACAGACGAACTAAAAGAAACGATTCTGAGCAGTCTGCAACCGAATCATGCCACAAACCGACAAAGGAAGTTGAGCAAAATGTGCATACAGAAAAAGAAGCAGAAATGACACGTGCAGTTCGTGACAGAGCATTCTGTGAAGTAAATGATGATGATTCCGTGTATGGGGCGAATTCGTATTCAGCCGACACACCTGGTCGTGCTTTGGACCCCGGCTATTGGGATTCTGACGTAGGGAGACATAAACCCATACGTGAAAAATTGTATTTGGATGACGGTGCCAGAGACGGTGACTGTAAATGGGACGTTGGTCATGACAAACAAGTGGAAGACGCTGGACAACAGTGGTCAGTTAAGCAAAAACTACATGACCCGCCAACTTTCACAGGAATGTCAGCACGTCGTCTGTCTATTGATGCAGAAAAGGAAGCTCTAAATGAATATCCACTACAGCCAACTGCAGCTTCTCAGGGTGACCATTTAAATATCCAATTGAATGAAATAGATGTTGCAGGAAATCCAGAGAGGCCCCCGGAAGAAAGCTGCTGGTCTGAAAATGTGGAAAGTAAATACAGTGTTGAGCAAGTGAATTATTCACCCGCAATCGGGGAAGTGCCTTCAAATGAGGAACATGAGCCTTTTGACTTTCCACAAGTCAAACCTGATCAGCTTGCAGATCAAAATGAAATTGAAGAGATCAAGTCACTCGAATCTGACCAAAAGTATTACCCTGAAATCGGGGCCTGTGTTGATAAAGAAGCTATTGATAAATGTCTTGAAGATCGAAAAGAGGAAGTAGCTCAACGTGATGCATTTTCACACAGTGTAAAAAGCCTTCCTGATTCATGTTTAAATCCACATCAAGAGGAGCTTTTGAAAGAGAAAACTGTGGTTTTGTACCAGGGAGATCATTGTCATGCACCTGAAACCGACGAGGCACTGATCAACATCAAACGAATGGAAACCACACCTTGTCAAGCAAAAGAGGTCAACAACCAAGTGAAGGCCAAACTGGAACAGAGTACTAATGGAGTCTTGACTACGATGACGGACTGTGCCTTGCCGTCACAAAGTGTACAACCAGAAAGCGGTTTTGTCTTTGACTCCCCAAGTCCAGACAATCATGCAAACACACATGAACAGAGAGAATCTTTCAGCCCACATAGGAACAGGAGAAAACTGGGTTCTAGTCGCCGGAGCAAAAGAAGCCACGAAATGGTCAATGCTGCTGAGACAAACTCCGATTCACAAGATGATGCTCCTGGAAAGACAAGTAATGATGGTGATGAGCCCCCCAAAATGGAAGAAGCAACATCTACAATAGAAGCAGTTGAGCAGAAAAAGATGCAGCTGAACGAAATGGACAATTTAGACACTTTTCTCAGTGAAGACATGCATCAGCTTGTCGAAGAAAATGCACATTCGAACTCAACTGTACCCCAACCGCGAACTCGACTATCAAATTACGAGGAGATACCGAAGGACGTACTTCCCATAGATAAAGCCAAAACAAAAGCAACAGACGAAAATCAAACTTTATTACAGGATGGAAATCTTGGAGATATCCTGGAGATAAGCATGCCCAAAACCAGCTTTCATGAAGACACAGAAATTGAGTACAGTGCAGCGATAGCCGCTATTTCTTCACCAAAAGCCAAAATATCCGCAGATGAACATGAGCACTTTGGCTTTTCTCAAGTTGGAGAAGCTCAACATCCAGACGAGGATTTAATTGGGAAGGCCAAGTTATTAGAAACAGACCAAACAAAAGATTCCAAGACATTGGTAAAGGGACTTAGTGGTGATGTTCATACAAATGTTCACAACCTTGTCGAGTCAGGTTTAAATCCACAGGATGAAGCGGAAAAACAGCTTATGGAAGACAACACAGAGGTTTTAGAGCAGAGAGATGAAAATAATGTTGCTTCTAACACCGCGGAGACATGGATCATCACAGAAAAAACGCACCCCACACAGAGTCGGGAACAGAAACTTGTTTTTGACTCTCAAAGTGAGGACAGCATTGCCAGCGCAGATCAACAAAAAGACTCCTTCAGCCAAGACACGAGCAGGACAAAACTGGGGTCGAGTCGGTGCGTCAAAAGAAGCAAGATTAATGCTGACTTTAAAGATGAGGCTGTCGGAGAGACAAGAGACGACTATAATCAACCCGGAGACCTAAAAGAAGCGACCATTAAAATAGAAACAGCAGAGCTGGAAAAGTCAGAGCTCCAAGAAATGGGCAATTCAATCACCTTTCAAGCTGAACCCATGATTGATCTCGTCAGAGAAAATGACCAAGCAGGATTCTCTGAATTTATGACTTCAAATACACATTCAAACACAACTGTACCCGAACTGCTAATTGAACGATCAAGTTCCAGGGAGATGTCAGAGGAGGAAGAACTTCCCATTGGTGAATTCAAAACAAAAGCAGAGGAGGAAAATGAGACTTCGCCACAGAACGAAAATGTACATGATGAGGATTTGGTGAGTCAAGCACTTGTTGATGCAGACGTGTCCGTTGCAACACCGGAGGTTAGCACGCCTAAAAGCGGCCTTGATAACGATGCAGACATTGAGTGCAATGAAGCAAAAGCCACAATTTCCTCACCAAAAGCAGAAACATCCACAGACGAACACCGTGAGCACTTTGGCTTTTCTCAAGTCAGAGAGGCTCGCTATACAGACGTCATTTTAACGAAATCATCAGAAATGGACCAACATGAAGACTGTGAAATTTTGAGCCCAGCTAGGAACCGGAGAACACTCGGGTCTAGTCGCCGGAACAAAGGAACTCTCAGGAAGGACTCTGCTGCTGAAACATACAACGAATCTCCAGACAGTGCTGCCGGAAATGACAACGATAAAGCGGATCCACCAGTAACAAAAGACATGACGTTTACGATAGAATCTGCTGAGATGGGAAACACTGAAAAAAATAGCCATGACGAAGATGCCGATAGTGAGTGCAGGCCATCAAATGCCACAATTTCATTACCGAAAGAGGAAATGGAGGATAAGCGTGAGCTTGCTAGCATATCTGGAGGCTATCATACCCAACATTTCGAGAATGTCAATCCTGTAGAAGGTAGTAACGAGCTAAATCATGTTGATGACTCCGCAGTTCAAGAGATCTGCTCTACTGCTGGAGTCATGCCGACGGAAGCCTCTGCAGACTGCGAGGAATTCATCATGGACGGGCCACAGTACACCCGGGATAAAACACTGCCGGTGGCAGCAGAGCCAGCAGGGCAGCAAGTATCACAACATCACACGAAAGCAATATTCAAAGCCACTGAGAAAATGGTCGTTGAAGTTGTGAAAAGCCAAGTCATTCGAGAGCAAGATTCTATTCCTCCAAACGCCGACAAAAATGAAAGTGCCAGTTCTCAAGGGGAAGTCCCAGACATACCGTTTATATCCCATCAGCACACAAATGTTTGCTCTGCATCGAGCTTGAATGTACAACAGTCAGAAGAAACCTTCCAGGAAAAAAGCATGGAGGCCGTGTCTTTTCAAGAATCACTGGAAGACATTCTAGAAGCTGCGAATGATGCCCAGGAAAAAGCTGTGGAAGAAAGAAGGCATCATTCAGACGCAACGGGACGGTCAAATGTGACTTTGACTCCTCCTAAGAAGAGAAAGATGGGCTCCACTCGCAGGTCTCGTATGAACGGGAAACACACAGTGGAAATGGACAGAGAAACCGATACGGGAGCTCTAGAAAATGATGACGTCCTGACTGATGTACCACAGACTGAAGCGTTCCAAAGGGCCGAAGAAGAGCAGGATTTCAACACGACTGAGGCTGATCCGAAGCTCCACAACAGTCCCAGAGAAAGCAACCTGATATCAGCCACCAGTGATGTCATAACTGTCTCTCCAGAGCAGGTGTCCCCTCATGATACTTCCCACGTAGCTGACGCGAGAAGTGACAGAGACACGATAGCTTGCACGGAGACATTCGAACCTGATTATGTTCCTGTGCTTGTGGACACAGAGAGCAAGAACAAACATCAGCTGCTTTCCAATAAATGTGCTCTAGATAGCGAGGCCACAAAACAGGATGTCAATGTAGTGCAAGGCCAAAATGCAACTGAACTACCTGGCAATGAGCTCATGGTTGAACAATCCAATATCCCATCGATAAAGACTGAGAGTGAAAGAGCTCCTGATAGACACTTGAAGAGTCCCGGTTTGAACTCGACAAGTAAAAAAAGAAAGATGGGCTCTACACGCAGAAATCTCGGCACCAAGTCAAAGGGGGACTTGGAGCTGAAGTTGGATTTGAATCGTGAGGTACCGGTCACAGCCCTTGTGCAAAATGTGATGACAGAGCGCGCCTGTCAAAGCGAAGATGAAAAGTTGACGCCTGAGAGCTCGGCCTTTGCGCCAACCAAGCAAGAATATACTTGCGAGCCTCCAAGCACTTCCCCGCTTCATCAGACAGGCAAAGAAAATCAAACTTCAGCGCATCATCCAGTTCAACTTGGCATCGGGGAAAAAGAGTCCAACCCCGCCAAACTTGATACGCCCTCAGAAATCGAGCTAGCGGGGAGAAAACGGAAACTGGGCTCTCACCGCAAGTCCAGACTACACCAAACACCAAACGGTGAAGAAGACAACCTGACGCAAAAACAACATGGGAGAGTTTCGAAAACAACCACACACGAACAAGCAGATGACATCATTCGAGGGCCTGAAGAATCACAGGTAAGAGACAAAACACAAAATGTACATGTGTCAACTGATCCACAGTTTGGATCAATTTGCCGCGGTCGTCGTCATTAAGAAAATGTGACCTGTGATGACAGACGGAAACATGAAGGCATGTCTGCTAATCTAAACTGGTTCATAATTTGGGGGTAAAGTGTCCATCCGTATTGTGATGCGCATTTTGAACGGGCCATTATCGGAACTTTTTAACTTTTTAAATGATATATTGTACAGCCCTCGTTGATATTTCTCATAAATAGATCCTCGATATTTCAGTAGGATAAGTGGACTTTTTTTTCCAAAGAGATAATGCTCACCTCAATCTTTTTTTTTTCCATTTTTTCATTTGTCAAATGAATGCTGCAAATGATTGAACGTCACCTCTTCAGAGCAATATCGGTGATCCCAAACCGTCAGCCGATAGTTCAAAATCTGTGAGGTAAGAGTCTTTCATGACGCTGTCATTTGCAATTACAGTACATTGACAGCATTGGATTTTACACCTGATTTATCACAGAAACAAGACATTTGAGGAAGGGATGCCATCTCGAGCACATCAAGAAAAAGTCCACCTGCGTCAAGATACTCAGAATGTCTCTTTGGGTATAACCGCACAATACTGTCCTTGGGTCAAGCATTTGAATATGGGGATGATACAATCAATGTAATAATATGGGGGCGGGGGGGGGGGGGGTCAGAATATTTGGCCATTTAGTTTATAATAAGGCGAGCAATGTCAGCAGGTAAAGCAAACCCCTACAACGTGGTCATGGTTGGAGACAGCAACGTGGGCAAGACTTCGTTCATGAAACGAGCACAAAATGGGAAGTTTTTTCCAGATTTGCCTGCCTCTGCTGGTAAAAGCCTTTAATATTACCCCTCACAAATCTAATTTAAAAAAAAAGTCAAATAGAAATGAAGTGGTGGGGGGGTGGGGGGGGGGGGGGGGTGGTCAGAATATTTGGCCATTTAGTTTATAATAAGGCGAGCAATGTCAGCAGGTAAAGCAAACCCCTACAACGTGGTCATGGTTGGAGACAGCAACGTGGGCAAGACTTCGTTCATGAAACGAGCACAAAATGGGAAGTTTTTTCCAGATTTGCCTGCCTCTGCTGGTAAAAGCCTTTAATATTACCCCTCACAAATCTAATTTAAAAAAAAAGTCAAATAGAATCATGCCACGCTCACGTGTTTTGAAGGCCTTGATACGTGCTTGTGGACTGTGGTCGTGGATGGCAGACCTGTGGTGCTCCAGCTGTGGGATACAGCCGGTCAAGAAAGGTAAAACTATTATCCTAGTTTATACAGCAAAAACATTTCGTCCTTCCAGCAAGTTCACATGAAGGTGAAGCATTACATAATGTTCAAACAAGGCAGCTGTAGAAAACTTATAAAAGCTTGAAATATTTTCTTCACCACTTCAAAGCAACTGGCTGTAGGCCAAGATTTCATAATTTATTTTATTTATTTTTTTTGTGACAAATTTATTTTCGTCCCCCATTTTGGTTCCATGTAATTTGCACCATGTTGTTCGTTGTGTGAACTATGTGGTTGCGAAGGAGCTGAGCTTCCCCGAGGAGGTTCAACGTCAGACTCTGTGCATGTGCGACACTGATGGCGACATTTTGAAATGTTGGAGTTCAGATCAGGTCAATGGCTCAAATACGGTGGCCGACGGCCGAAAGCTGAAAACATTGATGCTGGGGGTAAAAAAAAAAAAAAAAAGAGAGAGACATACACTAACATGCAAACTAAAAACACATTACAGTACCGAAGAATTACGAAATCCACCCCGGTTTTTCCAGAGGATCTGGTCTCACGGGACTGATCCTGCCGTACTCTGTGGCAGCATGGCAAACTTCGGTTTAGCATAATTTTATTTTTTTTTTTTGCCAACGTTTTTGAGTTGCTGTGCTTTGGATTTCCGCAGCGCTATTTTGGTTTTTTTTGCATTCATTTTGTGGTTTGTAATGTACCTTTGCCTCAGACGGCCACTGTACTCAAACACTATCCGCGCACACATCTGTTTAGGAACTTTGCTAATGTGATGGTGGTCGTCTTGTGATATCATAGTGACTGCATAATCAGATTGTCCAGGGAAGAGTTTTGTGTGTGTGTTTTTTTCAAGGGAATTTGGCAGGCAGTAGCCTACAGACGTTAAAACCACAGATATTTTCTGAGTGTTTCCTGTTGTCACAGAGCAGTTTAACAAGCTTGCTTTGTCTTTTTGCCGACAAATTTATTTTAAGGGAATTTGCAAATCAACTTGTTTCACATTTTACGTGTATACACTGCGACTTTTCTTTTCCCATTCTGATGGCTTTCAAAGGTTTCGCAGCATCACCAATCAGGTATTCCATCGAGCGCATGCATTTCTCCTGATGTATGACATCACTTCCTCTCAAAGCTTCACCGCCGTCCACTACTGGGCAAGATGCATTCAGGTGAGTTCTGAATTCGACACACATTTGGTTGGTTCTGTATCATGCCGCACTGATTTGCAGCCGAATGTTGTGTTGCGAGACTCTTGAAGCTTTGCGTGAATGACAGTTTCCAGAATAATCACCCTTATTTACCCTGTGGGAATCACTAAAGATAATCTTATGCAGCTTGGCGTGGACATAAAATGATCCAAAATCATTTTATTGGTTGTTGCATCATATTTTGTGATTTTAAAATTTTTAATTTGGCCCTGGAGGCCTTCATAAAAACTGAAAAGGTCACTTTTGTGTTTTTGCCTCCAAGCTCAGAACAGGCCAAAATAGGCATTACAGTGCCAGGAGCAGTTAAAATGCATAACTAATGGATTTAGTAGTATTCAGAGAAGTTTGAAGATCAAGTTTGACAAAAGATTGGCCTCTGACGATTGGGACTTAACATGTAGCCAAATTGTTTTCAGGAAGGGTCCAGGGAAAATGTTCCAGTTTTACTTCTCGGAAATAAAAGCGATCACGTTGAGCGTCGTGTTACAACTGAAGAGGGTCAGAATGTTGCAAAGGTATGTATCTGGTTTAGCGCTGCTTCTCCTGCCCCCAGGGAAGAAACAAACATTTCTGCAATTGTAATTTATCCTTTGAATAGAATTTAAAGGCAGACTTTATGGAGTGCAGCGCCGTCTCCGGCGACAATGTGATTCAGTCTTTGGAAGCAGTTGCCAGGTAATTTATCTTTCTTGTAGGTAATGTTTTGAAGTATATGACTTAACATTGAGAGTGTGCGTCGGTGCCTGTCGTCGTTGCCAGGTTGTTGAGTCATAAAGATGATGGAAGAGATGAAACCCTGGTGTTGCATAAAGCACCTCCAAAGAAGAAAGCAGGATGTTGCTGAACACAGTGCATCTGGGGAATTACTTTTTTTTTGGGTTAGTTTTAAACCCCCGCAAAGAACAATGACAGACCAATACTGAAGTTAGTGTAAAATGCTTTTAAATCCAGGTTAAAAACTATGCTCCTCCCATACTTATGATCATGCTCTTGCATTGTTGGTCTTGAATTCTTCTGTTTATCAAATACTGTACATTTGTTTGCCTCTAACTGTTTTGTAACTATGTGAAGCACATTGAATTAACTGGTGAATGAAATGCGCCGTACAAATAAAGCTGCCTTGCCTTAATTGTGCTGTACTGCTTTGATTGACAACCATAATAATGACTTGTCATATGTTGTTTATTAGGTTGTACATGGACTACAATGCTGAATAATGTTCAAAGAAAATTACATTTTAATTACCATTTGTGTTGCGAAACTCTACTTTAAAAAAGCTCCGGCTGACAAATAGCTTCTTGTTCTGGTCGCTAATCAGCCTTTGTGAGCGTTCTTTTGGATTGACAAGCAAGCGCTGGTCTCAGTTTGGACAAAATGTCCCTTGCAGCTATGGAGAGCATGACAACAATGTGATTGCCTCATCACAAGGAAGCTTCTGTCATCGGCAAATGTTGACACACTGCCGCCTCTTGGACACTGTAATCACGGGGCCGTCAAATTGCCTTCCGAGATGATCTTAGCCGGCGCATGTTTCTGGGCTCATGGTGGACTGAGATGGTCGAAGCTTCATGTTCCTTCACTTGAATGTACTTCTCTGGTGCGATGATCTTCTTGGTTGCTTCTGGTGTTTGTCATCACAGTCTTTGATCGACTGGAGAGTCTGTTTTTCCTCGCAGCGTGGTACTGTCGGACGGCCCGCGTGACATCAGCGGGTGTCCACTGGTGGCGGTTGAGGGCGTCCTGCAACGTGAAAGCGCCGTCTCTTGTGCGCCGAACTCCCTTGCAGACGGCCGTGCTGCGCAGCTCGAGTCCTATCTCGTGCACCACTTTGCGCAGGTATTTCTGTGTTTCGTTCAGGCACTGCACCTCTGAGAGCAGAACATTGCAAATGAAATTCCGGAATAACAGCATTAAAATGGCACGTCTGAGGGTGTTTTGACAGGCAGTTTACCCAGAGTGAAGTTAGGAGGTTGGAAGCGAATGCATCGCAGACCCGTCAAAATAGGCGGCGACTTCCCCTCTGGACCTAGAAAACCTTGCACGGCCATCTCGTAGGCTTCCTGTGACCGCATATCTACATTTGCATACCTAGGAAGGAGAAACATATCACATCCACGAAGCACTTTTGACGTGAGTAATGTGGAAAAGAGCCAAAATTGACATACGTTAGCAAGGCCTTTTGATTTGCTCCCTGCAGCATTGCCAAAACTCTTTCCAATTTATCTTGAGTGATATGATCTGTTGAGCAAACAAGTGAAGTTCAATAGTGACATGTCATGTCAAGACTGACTTAGACCGTGTGCAAATGTTTGTCTCCGATTTTTATAAACAGTCTATGCAAATGGCGCACAGCATAATTTTCCAGTTGGAACCTGTTTGAGAATAATTTGAATGTGTTTAAACAAACCTGCCAATGATAACAGTATTTTCTTTCAAAAACAACAGGTCTTTTTTTTTTCTTTTGTTAAAATGCACTGTACCAAATCACAAAGTACAGCAGTGGTTCGAGACATTTAATAGGTTGTCAAGACCTGAAAATTTGATTCATTTGAACAAATTCCATGAGTTGAATTTACAGCATTAACAGGTTGCATTTGCTGGAATCTAAAGCTACTTCACTCAAAAATATCTCAACAAGTTACATTTGAACATAGTCCCTTGTAGTTGATAACAGCTTGGCAATTCATCCATTGAACTTGAGTTCCCCCCCCCACCCAAGGATGTCAGAATAAACCTCACAGAGCTGCTTTTTGGATCTGAACTGCCTCCCAAGATCATCGCTCTTCTGCTCCTGCCTCCTTCCCTTAAAGACCTTTTGGGGGAGGATTATTTTCAGTTCTTTACAACCTCTACCAGTTTACTTGAAAATTATGCTGAGCGTGTTGACTGTAAAAGTCGGAGAAAAACAATTTGCAAAATCATTTGCAATACGGTGAAGTAGTGAAAAGTGAAAAAGACATTGAACACCGTGTTCAATGTCTTTTTCACACTTCACGTTGTCTATTTTAACCACCTTATATTTTTTATGAATGCAGTATTCAAACAGGTAAACATTATCAAATGAATTCACAAAATGTACTTTTTTATGTTCAGGTTCATGTCCTTTCAGTTATACTGAATGTCTAAACTCATTTAATATTGAGCATTTTTTAAATTTTCAGTTCTTCAAACCTTGAAAACATGCAAATGGGGGTATTTAAGAATTTTAGGCAACTGTCTACAGGCATTAAGTTACATACGAAGTAAGATGCAAGAGGCCAGCTTTTCTTAGAATTCGAAAGTACTAAACCAGTTATTTTCAGCGGGTACATACAACACTGGCAGTGTGTTGGCTCCCTCTGGTGGTAAGCAAAATAATTATTGCCTGAACTGTATCGTTACACTTAACTTTTATTCCATTTAATCTACAAGAAATATTTGTTTTTGATGTTATGGAGTCCCTTTTTTATCTTTTCTGCGCCACACATTTCAATGTAATCACTGAAGTACATTTTATTTAATGTTCCTTTATTTAAGCACAGTGTTAATGTTCACAATATTAGTGGCTTACAATGTTACATATACTGTACATACTTTTAAAGAATAAAATAACTCTTGATTCATACTTCGACCTACTTCGCTAGCCTACCATATTTTAAAGTTGGTCATGATGGTCGTATTTGGAGAGTTAAGTATTTTAAGTTGGTAGTTGGTGTTCTAGCAAAAGGCAAATATAAATGCAACATTGTTGAATTAGGTTAATATGACAGTCTAAATATAATAATGTAACAACAGTACTATTCTTGCATGAATGAGGTAGATGTGATCAAAGAAAAAACTGAGTGGATATTGTGAAGCACGTATTACAGAATCCATACCATAAGTGGATCTTTCCACAACTCGTCCCACGTGGGAGAAGTCATCTGTAGCGGTCCCAAACTCACCCTCCAATGTGTAGTCCTGAAAAAGCAGGCATCATTCAATCTATGGGGATTGTGTGCAAATGACACCATAGTGCTGTTTAGGTTGGAACCAGATAAAATTACCCTTGTGACTTTCATGTTGTAGAGGTCATTCAGAGCCCTATTTCCATTCCCAACACCAAGGACTTCATTTGAAATCAGACGTTATAATCAAATCAAGGGAAAAAAAAAACAAAAAACGTTTCAATGAAATTAAGATCATACCCATTACTCCTGAGGAAAATGTATCCAAACGATGTCCAACACCAACTCGAAGATGCTGGAATTCAGGACCAGTTACTGAAACATTTTAATTATAAGTTTGTGTTAGTCTCTCAGCCAACTCAAAAGTAGTGTCATAATACATGTATGTACTACACTAATACTGAAGTGCGAGGATAACATTACTGAATTTAAGAGTGGCAGAAATGCACATCCACATACCCAAAGGGTGTTTGGACAGGACCGGGACGCAGACTGCTAACAGCCCCTTGGGAGTCTGAGTGTCACCGCCTGGTGGTGTCAAAAACCGGGTCTGCTCAGGAAGAGGCAGCGATGGCAACGCATCTAAACCTGCAATATATACACATGGATATTTTAATAATATTTAAGAGTATTCGTATTGTGTGTGTATTTTTATTTTTTATTTAGAGAGAGGTGAGGCATGATGAGGAAGTCAGACCTTTAAGGAGCTTGGTCTCGATGGTGTCCCTCACGAGTTTCCAATGGACACCAGGAGGCTTGTAGACGCAAAACAGACCCTCTAACCTTCGGAAAAGTCGAACAGCAGGAGTTGCCATTGTTTAACTTCGATTAATGAAGCTTCTCTTATTTTAGAGGACTAAACTAAACATGTCTCAAAACCTTGCGAACGCAGACTAGTACGTGAACAACTGCGCATGTGCGTTTACAGTTCGGCGTGAGCGACATAACTGCTTTTTTTTTTGGTACAGCGCCCTCCGCAGTACCGGATGTTACATCGTTTACGTAAGTACTGTACGCGTTTTTCCTGTAGTATCCAACGTATTCTCGCGATATCTGTTTATCATCCACTCTAAACGGATGTAAACGACAATTTACACAACGTTCACAGTAACCTGAAACGAACGAGGTGAATGTGCCCACGTAAGATATTGTACAAACTATTTTTTTTGACACCTTAGTCGCGGGCAGATGATTGTGACCTTGTCTTGATTTGGGTACACGTTCGCCGACCGCCAACCAGAAAGCTAGCGCCACTACTTAAAACTGAGATCGTTCGTTTGTTAATGTGTGGGACGCCGTGTACACACACGCAATGCCAGTGACATGAACGTATCTTGTTATTCAGGGCGAAAACCATAGCATTGTAGTTCTGGTTTAGAACTACAGTACAATTTAGAGCCAAGATGCCGGGAAGTTACAAACCTCATAACCGGATTGGCAGATTCGTCCCCCTACCAAACACTGTACGAAGGCCATGTCATGAAATGTTCTTGAATAATTTAAACATGTAAAATGAATTCTTTATTTATCTTTGTTGATTATATTTACTGATATCCACCAAACAGCCACAAAACACTTGTACGCAGGATATGACGAATCTGCGAGTCGTTGAGAAACTGGTAAATCCGGCCGGCATTCGGTTTTTGTGTTTATTGTGGTCTAAACGGTAACACCGGCAATGTGTGCATCATAATCCAGGTTCGCGAATGTGAGATTAACCCTGATAATCGGTGACGTTCGTGCATTTTTATTCAGAGACTATATTACGTTTTCCCAACTGGGCTTCGGAAACATCATTGGGAATTATGATGCCGCTGTTTGTCCAGCAGGGGGCAGCGTGATTCAGCGACACCTACAAAAAGTACCAAGAATTCTGGGATGAAGTAAAGAATATCTTGTATTTAATCGAAGAGAGCGAGAGAGATTTTATTTCAGTGACATTACAAATGCCATCAAATATTCTAAACTATCATGTCACTTCAGGATGTGAGTTTGGCCCTGTATGTTCCCACGCTCAAAGTTAATTGAATTGCCGCTAGATAATAGACACATTCAGAATTTCGGGCCCCGGAATAGTTGTCCACTTTTCACAATTACGTGATTCAGTCTTCATGCCACCATTCTAGCCCCATTAGTCAGTGTCTAGACTAAAGAATTCCGCAAGAAACAATGCACTCCCTCCTCCTTCGTTTTTATATTGACTTATTAAGACGTCATGGATGAAAATGTCATCTTTTACCCACTATGGGATTGTCAGCAGTAGTGTTGTTCAGATGCAGAATTCTCAGTGGCTATACAGTTTCTGGAACTTGAAGTTGTCTTGTGTCATACCACAGCAGGTGCAATGCACGCCCCTCTGCGGTGGGTGCTCTGGGATGTGAAAGACACCCTGCTGAGGGTGCGTTCCTCGGTCGGTGAGCAGTACTGCGACGAGGCTAAACGAATGGGTCTGAGCCTCACACCTTCCGAGGTGGACGCTGCTTTCCGTCAGGCATATCGACATCAATCCAGTCGATTCCCAAACTACGGCATCGCTCAGGGACTGGACGGACAGTCGTGGTGGACGGCGGTGGTGAAGGCCACCTTCTTTCAGTGCAGAGTGCGTGACCCGGCCCTGCTCAGTACAATGGCCACCAACCTGTACCAGAGCTTCAGTAATGCTGAAAACTGGGAGGTAAATGATGTGATTGTTGGTTGTGTGTCAGCAGGTTGTAGAGCCCAAAACACAATTGACACCACTTAAGTTGGGGATATTTGTCTTTTGGGTAAAATTTCTTAACTGGTTGTTCTCAGAGGGAAGTGGCCACTAAGCTTTACGTTGATTCATGTGACTTTTGCCATTTCGCTCATTGAGAGAACCGCAAAAAGTACTGAACCATAACAGCTGGACATGTGGATTGATAAGTTTAGATGCTCCAATTAAATTTGCACAAAAAGATTATCGTGCATTTCCCAAAATTTCATCTGAAATTCCAAAGTCTCCAACTTGTTTTCATCATATTATGTTGAATAATGTCTTTATATTTGAGGTATTTCCAGACTCCAAGTCCTCTCTGGAGAGCTGCTCCTCACTAGGACTGAAACTAGGAGTCGTTTCCAACTTTGACAACCGACTAGAAGCCATCTTACGCGGTTGCGGGCTGCTTTCGCACTTCAACTTTGTGGTGACGTCAGAGGCGGCTGGTGTCGAGAAGCCCCACGTGGCCATCTTTGAGCAGGCCCTGCAGAAGTGCGGCGCGCCCCCTTCCAGCATTGTTCACGTTGGGGACCATTACGTGAACGACTACCTGGCATCTCGCTCGGCCGGAATCCACGGCTTCCTTTTGGACCGAACAAATAACTTTGAGCGACGTGATGTGCCGAAAGAGCATTGGCTCTCATCGTTGGATAATCTGCCAGCACTGCTAAAACAGCATATGAATGAATCCTTCTGATTATTTTGGAATATGTTTTACTCCCTCATAAAAATGTCAACAGTATGAAAGTCAGCATTTGAGATTAGTCGTTTCACAAAACACACGTTTCTGACCAAAAAGCCGAGAAAAGAAGCATTCTGTGAAAAGAAACATCTCAACCAGAACAATGACTTTGACCCAAACATATACAGTATATGTCTATTATTTTATGTTTGTTTTGTAAAGCACTTTCTTTCAGCTGCAGCAATTTGAATAAAGATGTATCTTCTGACACCTCAAACTATGAATCAACAAAAACAAAATTTTTGATGGGAAATTTTTTTTTTTTTAAATGGGCCGTGATGCTGCATCGCCGCATGGGCTCGGGTTGAATGCCAGTGGCTTTTTTAAAATGTATTTTTTTTATATAGCGTTCCTCATTTACAAGATGAATTCCATCTTTTCTCACAATCGCAACCTACTTTGTGTCACCCGAGACGGCACATGATTTGTTTATATCATTCGTATGCAGACTCTCTTCAAATTTAAGGCACCTAAACGTGTCCAATTTACATGTCGGCATTTCTCTTTCTCATTACCGACATAAGGTGAGAGTCACCGCTGAATCGTGACTCAAAAACTGTGCTGATCCCAAATCCAAAGTGATGCAATGCCACCATCTACAGGGATTTGTTATTAAAGTAGTTTGCAAGGCTGTCACAATATCCATCAATCAGGTTTTCTTTTCTATTTGTCGATTATCAATAATCCGGGTTTTGCTAATTCACAAAGACTGAATCGAGCCAACTGGATTATTCCCATTTGATGAATTTTGTTGCGTTTTCCTATTCCACTAAAATGTTTAGAAATCAATGGCAAACTTGTCAAAAGAAAGTTTTCTACTTGATTACGACTTTGCAAAACGGTCGCAATGACATGCAGCTAACATGCTTTTCCGCTTTAGCAGTGAGAGCGATTACGTTTCTTCACCCAAATAGCTTTGAAAAATACTTTTATTTGCAGCCATCTGGTCCATGGCAGATAGTGCGAGTTCTCCGACTGGGAGGCTCAAACAGGACCCAAAGAGGAATCGCATTGGGAAAGACCCAAATGGCTGCGCGATTCTAAGCACTCATATGGGTCATCGGGATTCACACAAGGCCAAGGTTCGATTTAAGGAGGTTAAGGGAGTTGCGTTAAGGGTTCACTCCAACAACCCTCGATTGCCGAGCGTTGAAATGAGATTTTTTTTTTCACCTGTAATTTCACCTCTTGACATTTGTATGTTAAAGGATATTGTAGCTCACTGGGGAAGAGCTTCTTACTTGAAAGCTGCTTTAGAAGCTCAGCCAGACGGCTCTAAAAGGCTCCGTAGAGATCCAATTGTGTAATAATGGGATTGTCAAAAGAGGGGGAAAGCGCATGAGTGCCGAAAGAAGGGACAGACTTTGCTATGAAGGGGAACATGTCAGTGCATCTGCACATTGATAATACGTGCATGTGTTTTGTTCACGAACCAATATGGTACTAACACAAGTAGGAGGTTTTCGATCATGTGAGTACCCAACACGGACAATCGATTTGTATCTTGATGCAAATGAGGCAGCAAGGGGAGGACAACTTGGTAGCAATCAGCAGTTGATTCAGTTTAAACTTGTTTGCAATCTAAAGGACGTCAGCTGTGAGAAGCTGAACTGCATACACAATGGCACAACTCGAGGCGTAGCATTTTTTTTTTTACTCCATACAAAACAGGCGGTCGGGACGCCCCAAATAGACAAAAAAAAAAAACCCAAATAGACAAAAAAAAAAACCTTAAGAAAGTTAATGGCTGACAAGTTAGTTGCATTTTCAAAAGAAATAATGTTAAAAAAAAACAAATAAATAAAAACCCAGTCAGACATTTGCTAATTTAATTCTTCGTTTTGAAAATAAATGCAGGAAATGAAAGTGAGACACCACAGATGTGAAAAAGCAACTTTTAAGTATCAGTTGGACCCTCTCCTATATTGGAAACGCATATCAATCTACAACATTATGTGTGTGCGCACATAAGCATGTTTTCACACATCAATGCTGCACACAATAGGAGGCATACCAAAAACACACGGTGCAAACATCCGACGCTGTAAACAAATATTTGGATCATCCCATTACTCTCTCGACCAAAACTTTCATTTCAAGATAGAAGCTGCCACACCTGAAGTGTTTTTTTAATCATTATCATTGTCAGTTTAACATTCATTATTTTGTAATCCTTTCGCCGATATTGGAGGTTAGATTATTTTTTTTTTTTTTGCTCTCTTTAAAATGTATTCAAATTCAAATTGGAGACGAGGCCAAAACACACCACTCAAGATTTCGATTAAATAAGTGCACCAATACAATAAAGTGCCAATTTTAGGAAGTATCCGCAAGATTGCAGAAAAAGTGCCATTGAATTAAAGGTACCATGGAATGACAACCACCATGTGTGTGTTTCTAAGTGGTATGTTTTGGATTTTTTTTTTTCTCCTCTAGCTTTTCAATGTGAAACTTGTGAGGAAAGGACACATTCCAGTTCAGCTCCGGAATCACAACTAAAACCGACACAACTCCCATCAGAAGAAATGCGTTCTATGCCTGACAGCCATCCGAGGGGTCTTCATCCATTCTGTCCATCAATTCGCCATTCTGTCAAGTGAAATGTGTTCTCTCCTTTAAAAAAAAAATAAACGACACTAAAAAACGTAGTTTAAAGCGTCAGCATCATCTGTGCTTGGAGTTCTGAAAAGTGCATCAAGGTAATAAAAAGACATAAATAGGAATTGGGAGGTTTAAGTCAATGAATTTGGATGGTCCTGTAGCCTCGAATGCATCTGGGTTTTTTTCCCCCCCAGAATCCACCCGGGAGATGATTCATGTCCTCGTTCGATGACTTCAGAGTGAAGAAACGGTATCCAGAGTTTGGCAGCCTCTCTTGTCCCTCATAACTCCCAAGAGTGTTTATTTCCACGGCAGGATCGAAGCTGATTGACGCATTGCAGAAAGTCAATGGAAAAGCCACGTGAAGGAACGTCCTACCTTATCTCATTTGAGTCTTTGCCTCAGGACGGCTTCTTCGCTCTTTGGAGGCAATCTTAAAACCTGACAGTTGAAGGAAGCACTGCGATGAGGATCCGCATTGTTGTCTTCTCACACCACTGGAAGGCAAACAAACACGTCCCATTTCACACATCGGACATCAAATCGGATCAAGCTTATTTAAATGTTGAGCCACAGCAAAATGAATGGATTGGATAAACCAGCCCCCAATAGTGAGTACTAAAAATTAAAACCTTAGACTTATTTTGGGGACTTTTATATGTACTGCAATGCACGACACATTAAACACAAAATTGACTTTTGTGAATAACTTTGAAGGCATCCATTCAGTTAGCTCGCCAGTAGCACCTTAGCTTTAATATTAACTCATGCACGGGCCACAACTGCTAGCTTCTCTTATTCCAATTCAAACAGAGGACCGTGTTTTTGTCTTTGACCACCTGAAACATTTCCTAGCGAGAAAAATAACTCTGCGAACTCCTACCCGACAACATAAACGGTCGGCTATGATTAAATGCAGAAAAAAAAAAACATTTCAGTCTCGTGCTGTATGCTTATTCCCTTTTCTAGCTCAATTACCGAATTGGCCCGAATATAAGACGGCCCTGCTTATAAGACGCATCCCTCTTTTTCAAGACTCAAGTTTGAAAAAAGACTTTTTGAACACCAAATTAATTTTTATACAGAAAATAATTACAGTACATCTGAAACAAATGATTGTAACAATATGTTTGAGAGAAAAAGCATGTTATTTTGCCTCATTCAAATCTAAAAGGCAATCACATTCGTAAATGAATGGCTTCTGGTTTTTGAAATGTAAATGACATCATAACTTCTCCTCAGCTGCCGGTTAACCTGGCCTATCTGTGACCCACTTTTCTCCAGATTGTCGCTACGTTTCTCCATTTTCTGTTATCTCTTCAATTATTTTCTTCTCTTTTCCTTCTTACCGCTATTTTTTTATTTTTCTTCTTCGTGCTACCGCTATTTTTATTTTTATTCTTAGTGGCAGGGGTTCACTTTGGCCTGGGGAGTCAAGTTCAGCATTCGCTTCAATGATATCTGGCACCATCTAGCATTATGAATGGGTATACTGTCTAGACTCCGAATATAAGACGACCCCCACTTTTTCAGTCTTATTTCAATGCAAAAAACACCGCCTTATATTCGGGCCAATACGGTAATGCAACAATTACAAGACTCTTCACGCTCAGTGCTCAGTGAGTTGGATTAACGAGGGAAACGCAGCCATGAAGTGGTCAATGTTCCTGCGAATATAAAAGATGTTGACTAAGAAGAGAAAGGAGGTACTGTACCGCTTTCAGGAGGATAGAATGGTGCTCGGTGCTTCTGTGAGTAAACAGGCTTTTCTGGGATGAAGTGATGGGGGTGTCTCCTCTTACGGCATTCCTGTCTCCACCAACAACTGTAGCAGGAAGAGAGAACGGTCAGAACACCTATTATGTTTTTTTTTTTTTTTTTTTTTAAATAGATGACAACAGCTTGCACACTGCTTACTTTAACAGCGTGCACACCACAATGATCAGGACGCAGCCAATCACACACAACACCAGCACAGTGGCAACGGTCTGCGGACGGTGGTTGGTGGCCACGACGGCCAGCAGGTCTGCATGCTCGCACCTCATCCCGACAAAGCCGGGATGGCATCTGCGACATCAAGAGAAGAACAAATTGGAAAGATTTCTTTTTATCTCATGTCAATAAAACCCTATGTCTGTGATTTGCAAACTTGTGCAACTCCAAAATGTTTTCTGCTCACTTTTTGTAGCACACAACAATACTTGGTTGAGATATTTGTGGCAAGAGTCACCTTCAAAAAGTATTCAAATGGTGAGGTACCATTTTTTTTTTTTTTTTGTATACTGAAGACATTTTGGGTTTCAGATCAAAAGATGAACATGTGGCAAAAGTTCTGAATTCGTTTTTATTTCATGGCGTTTACATGGACGTGTTAAATAACAACAGAGACGGACACCTTTTGTTTGAAGCCACTTTTCAAGGGAGTAAAAGTGTTGGAACACGTGCCCAATGGGGGTTTCTAGTTGCTCAGGTGTGGCCTTTGAGATTGACTGATGTAACATTCGATAATGCTTCTTTTGGGCTTTGTGTTTCACCTGTGAAAAGGGCATTTACTTTAAAGCAAACATCAAGACAAAAAAAAAAAAACTACTGGTGTACTGAGCAATAGACATCAATCAGGTCGGCCAAAAGT